GGGGGGGGGTGAATTAGTGCTTAAGGAAAACATTAGTTGATTCAACAAAATCTCGTTCGATAAAAATCAATATTGAGTGTGCGTGCTTGACTTAAAATAGGTGCAAGGTAAACATTCGTTGATTCAACAAAATCTCGTTCGATAAAAATCAATATTGAGTGTGCGTGCTTGACTTAAAATAGGTGCAAGGTAAAGTGAGCAACAAAATAAGTAAGTAGTAAAGATAAACAACGAAGAAGAAAAAAGGGGCCCACCGGATTTATAGTGGTTCGATCATCATGACCTATGTCCACTCCTAATTCCTCCTCCGTTAAGGCCATTGGTTTTCACTATCGATCTTCTTTTAATAGATGAAGATCAATTACCCTTTTACAACCCTTTTCTCTTTTTCACGGGTTAGGAGATAACCTTTACAAGTCTCTCACCCCTTCATTAAATTGAAATCAAACTTAGAGAATATGAGAGAAATTCTCACAAGATTACAATAGTGTTTTCTCAAGTTTTTTGTTTTCAGTTCTTGTGTAAACCGAGCAGGGATGAGTGGGATATTTATAGACCTCAAATGGATTCAAATTTAGAGCCAAAATAGTATCATCAAAGGTTTTCAGGGTACTGACGGTACCACCATCAGTATTGAGTAGTACTATCGCCCGCTAGACCGACAACTAGTGGTAGCACCGCCTGTCAGTTTGACACTGGACCGTACCACCGCCCAGTCTAACACTAACACTGGGTGATACCATCGCCTGATAGGGCCTCGGAGATTGGGCTCTAGCGATACTATTGCCAGTCTGGGTGGTACCATCGCTCAAACAGCTTGGAAGGCCGAGCCTCAAGGCTAGGGGTGTCATCGCCTCGGCCAACTAAGGGTCACTAAATGAGCCTTCCACTTGGCCCAAAATAGCCCCAACTAAAGCCCAGTTGGTCCATAATTGAGTTAGCATGCTTACACCCAAAATCAATTCAATTAGCCCTTTAAACTACTTCGATCTAGATATATTATTACAAAGCATGGATCCTTTGTTGTCCGGCATGTCACTAGTTTATCTGGCGGCTTGTCCGATCCTTCGGCGAATCGTCCTCTCCTTCAGCGTATTGGCCAATCAACATGTTGACCTTTCGTAACATCCGATCTCTTTGGCGCAATATCTGATCCTTCGGCTCAATGCCTGAACTCATGACACGAAGACCTTATACCGACATATCGATTGATCCTCCAGCCCGAAGCCCAATCTTTTGACATGTTCACTCCGGCCTAACGTCTGATTCTTTCTGCTTTAATCAGTATTGAGTAGTACTATCGCCCGCTAGACTGACAACTAGTGGTACCACCGCCTGTCAGTCTGACACTGGGTCGTACCATCGCCCAGTCTAACACTAACATTGGGTGATACCATCGCCTGATAGGGCCTTGGAGATTGGGCTCTAGCAGTACTATTGCTAGTCTGGGTGGTACCACCGCTCAAACAGCTTGGAAGGCCGAGCCTCAAGGCTAGGGGTGTCATCGCCTCAGCCAACTAAGGGTTACTAAATGGGCCTTCCACTTGGCCCAAAATAGCCCCAACTAAAGCCCAGTTGGTCCCTAATTGAGTTAGTATGGTTACACCCAAAATCAACTCAATTAGCCCTTTAAACTACTTTGATCTAGATAAATTATTACAAAGCATGGATCCTTTGTTGTCCGGCATGTCACTGGTTTATCTAGCGGCTCGTCCGATCCTTCGGCGTATCGTCCTCTCCTTCGGTGTATTGCCCAATCAACATGTTGACCTTCCGCAACATCCGATCTCTTTGGCGCAATATCTGATCCTTCGGCTCGATGCCTGAACTCATGGCACGAAGACCTTATGCCGGCACATCGACCGATCCTCCGGTCCGAAGTCCAATCTTTTGACATGTTCACTCCGGCCTAACGTCTGATTCTTTCTGCTTTAATCGAATTAACTTTTCATGATCGAAATTATTCCCACGTTACTCAAAACACATATTAGATCATAACTTCATCAATTGATTTCATCGTCAAAATCCGAGATTCAACATTTTTAATGATAGCTTAAGCATAAAGCTTACGACCTAAGGAGCTGGTGCCCCCGTCATATGAGCTCTTCAATATACTTTTTCAGGTTACAATATTCTTTAGTGTCATGATTGTAATCTCAATGGAACCGCTAGTACTTAGACTTATCTCTTTTTTACTAACGAGGTCTTCATTGGGTGAGGGTCTCTTTAGAGCCCCTTCTCCTTTATCTGTAGGAAGAATTGACTCTAGTCATATTTAGAGGGGTCAGCTTAGGCCTTGGGTGAGGTAACTCGGATTATTTATTTCTTTTCCGTTGTGACGACCTCGGGATTAGGGCTGATTGTGACCGCTCTTGCTTTGGCCTCTTACGTGACTCCTCACACTTGCTTGAGACCATTGCCTTTGTGGTAATATATTGATTAGTTCAATGAAGTGTCTTAAGTATAGTAGTGGTGGCCTCTCTATCAATAATAAAAAAATGCGAGAGAGATTGAGTCCCATCATGAATGTCTATATTATGAGTGATGAATAGACATATACTATGCATCGAATCTCATTTATGAACTAAGTAACAAAAGCTATGATTGTTTTTTTCCTCCTCTTGCTTGAGTTCGAGGAATATTATTCTTGAAGGCTGAGGTCATATATTCTCGAGAAAGTGATATTTGAATTATCTTGCTAGCTAGGCGAAAGAACAAATAAAAAGTGACTTCAAGCGATAATACCATTCTCATGTCGTGCCTCTTAATATGATCAAAAGAGGTCATCCGCGCCGTGCTGGAGGACGCTGAGGAGAAGCATATCATGAACGCTGCCGTGCGTGATTGGCTTCGGCACCTCAAAGACATTGCCTACGAAGCCGATGACATGCTGGATGCGTTCAACTTCCGAGCCCTGCGGCGTAAGGTGGAGGGCGGAGAACGAACCTGGCAGGTGTTCCGTGTCTTCTCTTCTTTGTTTCGGCTTGAGACATGCCCTGTTCCGTAGCAGGATGGCGCATCAGATCATGGAGATTAGGAAGACGCTCCCCTCGCATATGAAACAATGCTTCTCCTACTGCTCCATATTTCAGAAAGGTTACGAGTTCGACAAAGATAAGCTGGTCAAAATCTGGATGGGCCGAGGATTCCTGCAACACCAGGGTACGAAGCAGATGGAAGACACAGGAGCTGAGTTCGACGAATTGCTAGGAAGGTGGCTATGTGATGCATGTTCGTCTCTATCGACGAATGTTTGACGAATGTTTTGATGTTTTGTTGGGATAGAAGAGTAAGGAAAAAACAGAATATTACGATACGAGTAAAAAGAATCCTTTCGATTCAAGAAAACTAATGTAGTATTTAAAAACAGAAGGATTGACAAAAACACTTACAAGATATTCTCAAGTGCACATACTCTCTCTATCGACGAATGTTTTGATGTTTTGTTGGGATAGAAGAGTAAGGAAAAAACAAAATATTACGATACGAGTAAAAAGAATCCTTTCGATTCAAGAAAACTAATGTAGTATTTAAAAACAGAAGGATTGACAAAAACACTTACAAGATATTCTCAAGTGCACATACTCTCTATATCCTTGCTTCATGAACTATGATCCTATTTATAGGACCTAGTTATAACAACCATATAACTACTAGATCATGATTGTAGTAGTTATTGAAATCATCCTATAACTACTAGATCATGATTGAGGTGATTGTTGAAATCATCTTGTAATCACTAAATCATTATAACTATCTAGATAGATAACTATAAATCAAATCTCAACACTCCCCCTTGATTCATAATTACATATACTAATTTGCGATATAAAATAAACATGCTTTTGAATTGGAAGCGATTTGGTGAGGATATCCGCAACTTGTTTATCTGTTCCACAATACTTCATTGTTATGGCTCCACTTGCTATAAGATCTCGGATGAAATGATAGCGCATCTCTATATGCTTCATTCTTCCATAAAACGTTGGATTCTTCATCATTGTAATTGTGGCTTTATTGTCGCAAAATATTTTCGTTGCTTCTTTTTGTTTTTGATGAAGAATCCAACGTTTCATAGAAGAACGAAGCATATAAAGATACGCTATTATTTCATCTGAGATCTTATAGCAAGTGGAGCCATAACAATGACGTATTATGGAACATATGAACAAGTTGCGAATATCCTCACCAAATCGCTTCTAGTTCAAAAGTATGTTGTATGCAACTATGAATCAAGAGGGAGTGTTGAGATTTGATTCATAGTTATCTATCTAGATAGTTATCATGATTTAGTGGTTACATGATGATTTCAGCAACCACCTCAATCATGATCTAGTAGTTATAGGATGTACTTGAGAATATCTTGTAAGTGTTCTTGTCAATCCTCCTCTGCCACGTCCTCTTCCTACTGATTTTTTGTCTTCTTTTGAAGTAGAAGACTCCCCTTTAACCTGAAATGCTTTCTCTTCATTTTTTTCAAGTGACCTGTTCAACCTTACTTCATGTGCTTGCAAGGAACCCATTAGTTCATCAATTGAATAAGTAGATAAATCTTTTGACTCCTCAATTGCGGTAACAATATGATCAAATTTTGGAATTAAACTTCTCAAAACTTTTGCAACAATTATATGATTAGGAAGATGTTCACCATAAGATTTCATTTGACTAACAATTTCAGTCACTCGATAAAAAAAATCTTGCACCGATTCATTGTTTTTCATGAACAAAATTTCAAACTCACGGCTGAGGGTTTGAAGATTTACCGTAATCACCCTTGATGAGACTTGAAATTTATTTTGAAGTATCAATCAAGCTTGCTTTGAGGTTGTCACTGCTGCAATTCTTGAGAAGATCGTCTCATGTACAGCTTGTTGAATGAAGAACAATGCCTTTGAGTCCTTCTTTCTATTCTCCCTCAGCCTGATTTCATCATCTGGATCTGCATATCCATTCTCTATTAAGTCTCAAAGATCATCTTGATACTCCAAAATTCATAGCTTTTACCCGAGAAGATGGGATAAGGGGTTGAGACATGGAATTACCATTGAAAGTCATAATGCCCAGTTTAGATTGAAACTAAACTATGATAAAAAGAATCATTTCGATTCAAAAAAATTGATGTAGTATTTAAAAACAGGAGGATTGACAAGAATACTTACAAGATATTCTCAAATGCACACACTCTCTATATTCTTGCTTCATGAACTATGATCCTATTTATAGGACCTAGTTATAACCACCCTATAACTATCTAGATAGATAACGATGAATCAAATCTCAACATGTTTCGGAATCCCCGGAAAGATTCGCCTCTCTCATTGACCTCCAAAGATTCACTACCTAAAGCATTGTTTGGATTCAGAAGCTTGTCGGATTCAATTCCAGTGTCATCCAGATTCCACCGGATCTAGTTCTACATTTGAAATACCTACGCGTGCTGGATTTCAGTGACAGTTTCCTCGAAGAATTGCCCGAAACCATCGGCGACTTAGTGCATCTCCGGTACCTGGATCTGACTGCCACTGCCATTGCAAGGTTGCCTGAATCAATTAGCAAGCTCTATAGTTTGCAGACCTGGAGACTGAGAGAGTGTTTCTCATTGAAGGGGTTACCTAAAGGCATAACCAATCTGATAAACCTACGGCATCTGGAAGAAGACAGCAGACTGATCTCGAGTGTGGCTGGGATTGGGAAACTGACCTGCCTCCAGGAACTGCCTATATTCAAGATTCATCAGCAGATCGGACATAGGATATCGGAGCTGAAAGATATGACGGAGATCCGAGGAAGTCTCTGCGTTTTGAATCTGGAGAATGTGGCCGATGCCGAAGAAGCAAGACAGGCCAGATTGAGCTACAAACAACATCTGCAGAAGCTGAAACTAGAATGGAACGCTCACAGTGCGGGCAGCTTTAGAGATGAGGACATACTCGAATGCCTGCAACCACATGAGAGCCTCAAAGAGCTTCATATAGAAGGCTACAATGGCAGCAGGTTCCCCAGCTGGGTAGGAGATCCAGTTTTCTCTAGCCTTACGAAAATGTACTTGCACTACTGCAACTGCAGCCTCCTCCCACCTCCGGGACGACTGCGCTTCCTTACTCACCTAGAAATGCAAGGACCGGATGGGATCAAGCATCTTGGTCCGGAGTTCTGCGGCCATGGTAGGGATGGTGGTTTTCCTTCCCTAGAAGTGCTGCAATTGGAGGACATGACAGAATGGTTGGAGTGGTCTGGAGTCACCGAAACCCATTTCCCGTGCCTCCGTGAGCTCAGCATCGTGCGCTGTCCAAAATTGAGGCGATTGCCTGCCATCACTTCTCTTTCTTCGGTGCACATATCCAACTGCTCAGACCTGCAATCTCTTCCGGCGGACCTGACCAGGCTTCGGAGACTAGAGATCTATCACTGTGAAAACATGGTGGTTCCGTCAGAAGGCAGCGGGCTTCAGTCACTGGCCTCCCTCAAGCACTTGGATGTCGAGAACTGTCCTAAGCTGATGTCGGTAGTAGAGGCAGAGGCTGTTCATCTTCCCAAGTCGCTTCAAGTGCTCCGAATCAACTCATGCACTGATCCGAGCAGCTGGGTTTTCAAAGAGATAAGATTCTTAACATCCCTCCAATATTTGCAGATTTCCGAATGCATGAACTTGAAAGTTCTTCCGGAAGGGCTTCGTGCCCTTCCATCCCTCCATAGCTTTCTGGTGCTTAGGTGCCCTCAGATCACCGCATTGCCGGAGGATGGCTTGCCTGCGACACTGCAATGCTTGTCCGTAGAAAGCTGTCCGATGCTGCATGAACGGTGCAAGGAGGAGAGAGGCCTCGACTGGCACAAGATAAATCACATACCCACCGCAGTGATCGACGGCCAACACTTGTAAAGGTGATAAGAACACTACCCGATCTCTCTTTGTCTTTTGCATCAACCTAATCAATTAGCAAAGCTCTATAGTTTGCACAATTCCTAGGCCTGTTGAAGATGTGGAACTTATCATCTTCTTATGGTGAAGCCAATTACTTGGCATCAATTAACTATTCTGCTTCTCTCCTCAGCATGTTCTGCATCCCAGAAGCAAAGTAGGTTCCGATTGTTTGGGGAGAATCACAGGAAAAAGACCTGTTCGTATGAGATACAGTAGGGTTTTAGTTGCAAGTTTTTGTACCACTTGGAAGTTTATGATACACAAACTGCTGAGCATATATGGAATAGCTACCTACGTGCACCTAAAACGCGTTCCATTTTCGCAATGGCATTCAATCGAACAACTAACGTGCATGAGCACCTAAATATTAAAGCAAAGCCGTGCAGAAATGCTAGACCGTGTGGAAACTGATCAAGACGGAGCAAAGACATGCCAGAGCTACCGGTGGATGACACGGCGACGGAAGGCAAGCAGATTTCAACCCCATTGCCCCGGTCCCGACGTGATTGAGAACCCGGTTTACAGCAGGCGACGCTCGGGGATGAAGGGGGAACTATGCGTAGGAAACTTGCACGGAGGAGGGTGAGGAGGGCAGAATAAGTACACGAAGGCCTAATCGGAAGACTTCTTCGAGCTCAGGCAGGGCATGAGTGCCTGATTGGCTCAACTGAAATCTTATGCATTGTAATCGATTAAATACCTGAAGTGTGTTACCAGCGCTCATCAAACAACGGCAGCAAAATGCAGACATGAAGAAGACGATGGCCTGCAGCTGATCGATACTATGCGAAGAGGTCTCAATCGCCTGTTTCCCAGAAGGAACAGGGGATCGATACAACTGATTGAAGCTGAACAAGATTTAAAGTGACATTTGTACTGTAATCAAAATCATGAATACATCAAACACTTCAAAGTCTGATTCTTCATGGTGAAACAGATTAAAATCCTAGCAACAAATTCTCATTGATTATTTCAATAATCATTTTCTTAAACGAGGCTACGAGCATGCAGAATGACATTATGATGGTCTTTTTCTTACATGAGCAACAGTACACTGCATGAATAAGGAGGAAGGAAGGAGTACCATACTTTGCTATACATGATCTGAATTAGCTCCACCGGTGTCCAGCCATAGTACCGGAGCTAGTAATGCAACATATCAGAGAGGTACTTCAGATCAGCCCTAGAACAGGAAGTAATGTGCTCGACAGGAACAGAGGGCTTGTTAATCCCGCGGCCGAGCTAGCCAAATAGAGCTCAGGGCACGAAGACGTGAGAAGTATCCATGTATGGCAAGAAGCGCTCGTGCCGACTGACGGGTAGTTAATATCCGGTGCATCTGTTGCAGGGTTTGCTGTCGCAGGTTATCGGCCTAGAAAAATAAACAGAAAAGACCTAGTGATGAATAATGTAAATTTCAAGCTCGGTAATTCTTTTGCCAGTGAAAAGCAAAGTTACTGCAACGTCATCTGGACCGACAGTGGCGGATGAGCCGAGACACCTAAAAAGACTTAAAAGAACCCCAACCACAAATGAAAATACCATACGACAGAGAACTAATTCAAGGTATGCAAAGGCCTAATATTGATGCAGAGTCATGTATTAAACCATAAGTAATTTACCTGGCGAAGAAAATTCTCAAGAGTTCCAAGTTTTCCCATTGCCATAGCCATCTGACCCATGTAGTTTGCAACATTCCCTGAAGATCCTGAGGGGGCAAGCGACCCAGCCAGTGTTTCTGCCAAGGACTGCTGCAACGCCTCCATCCCTTGAGACAGAGCATCCTCAGCTTGCTGCGATGACTGCTGAAGGTTGCATATGCCCATCATTTGCTGCTCTGTAAGCGGCTCCAGCTGATTTGCAAGTAGCTGCAAAGATAAAGCACAATTAGAACTGAACTAATGAACCGACAAAAGGACCACCCAAAGTAGCCCCACAACAACAACTAATAGTCATGCCCCAGCTATTTGGGGACCAAAAGAAAGCCCATGATTAGAAATGTTACTAAAAAAAGAAACCCAATTTGAATTTATTCCATCCCAAACCCGTTTGCTTGATGAAACTTCTGGTGGCATGAAAAAAAGCTTAGAAAAAATAATAATAAATACAAGGTATGAAGTTCTGCACCTTCAGAAGCTCAGATGAACGGAATCCTCCCAGCCATAAGAAACACCTTTCAGCTGGTGTCTTCCACATGCCTGATAATATATGAAAGACATCAGCCTTGGCAGCAATGCCCTTAAGCCTAAATATTTCATCATACTGAGCCATGACACCATCAACGATAACACAGAGATCATTTTCACTGGCATGAGCATTCACTGCAGATCTCAGCTCATTGATCTGCCGGTTATGTTCTTCGAGCCATCGTGCATATTCTACATCAAAAGCCAACGCCCCTGCAATATTCATTTAGCATGCCACTGATTATAGGACAGGAAGCGATTAAACTAAAACACAATGTGTACCAGCATGTGTCAAAGGTAGGACATCAATTCGTTGGTATAATTTTTGAATTTACAATATGAAAGAAGATTAGTTGATTAGTCCTGAATATAAATAAATGTGGGGATGAATAAATTGCATAAAAGATTTAATAAATTGTGTGTGAGTCAATTACATCCGAGTTTATCACATAAAATTCTGCCTAACTGGACCAAAAAGAACCATAATGAAGTACTTTAAATCTGTGTTTCAATACCGAGGATATTGTAAAGAAAACAAAGATTCCTCATGCATTCAACAAAAAAGCTACAATATGATGATCAAATATTTTCCTATACAAGAACCTGAACAATTTTGTTGAAGGATGTACTTTTGTGAACCCTTGCTATGATAATTTCTCATTAGTTGCCTCAAGCAGAGAGTTTCATGTAAACAAAAAGTACAACTAGCAAAGATGGAACAAATGTGTTTCTCCCCCTACAAAATATGCTCTTATGTTACACAAATTATGGACAAGGTTGTTATAAACTCAATGTCAGATGAAGAGATCATGCAGTAGAAATTACCATTTCCACCCATGGCGTGGGATTGATCTCCTGAGCCAGAAATAAAAATTCCCTGAAAACACATATTTCAACCTGATTACATAATCCACAATATTGGCAACAAAAAAAGAAAAGATAAGGTCTCAATAGAATAGAGAAGAGGAAATGTTCGCGGAAAAGGATCATACCTGCTGCCGAGCTCTTTGGAGCTCCTGCTCAAGTTGAGTTAGCTTCAGTCTACTACTCTCTAGTTGTTGTACATAAGCCTTGTAAATTAAGAAGACAGGAGAATATATAAATAATTAGAAATATATCTTACTGAAATTAACATAAAATCTGCAAACAACTGATACTGCAAATTGGATTACTTTTCCAAAATATGCTAAAGCTAACTTATTTACCATGCCCAATCAAGAAAATGAGAGAAAGGTTATTCTGAAGCTATAGAGTGCACATTAAAATCGGGTAAGGTGAATGAACAAGTAACAGCAGGGTTAATTTACCTGACAACAAGTAATTTCTAATAACAACATCTAAGAATAAATATTTCCCATATCCCAATAACATACCATAATACTCTTACAAGTGCTAACCAAAGGAAGTACCAAAACTTGCAAAAAGTGCAAAGAAAAAGACTAATCACCTTTTTTCTTAACCTACTCTTTCTTGCAGCTTCACGATTTTGAGCCAGTCGACGAACTGTCTGTTCGAAAATAATTTTCTATATAATTAAATGTATATTTTTTACTGAAAAAGGAGGCAACAATTAACTGGAAAATGCAACAAACATGTACCTTTTGGTCCAGTGTCTTGTCCTTCGACCTGTCACTAGAATCAGATGCTGCAACAACAGCATGTTGTCCTCGTTCTAACTGAAAATTAAAAGATAAGGATACATAGCCATAGACCATATCAAAATTTGAATACTAAGTAACTACTTTTTGGAACATGAAGCATATTCCATGTACATGTAGTGGTCATAGCGATAAATCCTCTAATCAGTCAAATTCTTTGTTGATATGTAGCTACAACAAATTATTAATCATGGAGATTGCATTTCTGCCAGTGCCATAAGTGGTTTATAGTCCTTTTTTCAGAGGTCTATAATCTTAAAAAAGCATTGTATTACGTTATTGCCAATGGTCTATTAGGTTTAGTTGTCTTTGCTTACAATATGTTTCTGAAAATAAAAAAAAAGAACAACCATTGATCTTATTCATGGCAATTTACCATATCCTGATCTGAAAACATAGCTCAAAGATATAAACATAAAACAAGGAAATAAGTTTAAGACTACAATAGTCATATGGCCCATTATGTAGTAGCCAACCCAAACCAGATTTTGGACCAGCTGCCTTTTGGCCCAAATTAATGAAATATACCATAAAGCGCTTTTTTTTTGCTGCAATATTTGACTGGATTAAATATAACTGGACCTAAGTAATCTATTAGGATAGTTTATACATTCAAAAATCCCTTGTAAGTACCAAATCAGCTAGGGAAACTTTTCGTTCCCTTTATTGGCACAAGAGTGTCACTAATAATTCGTTTATCTACCATCCACCTTAGCGGCCTTTACATTTTGCCATCTTGATCAGTCTCACCATCTAGTACCTCGATCCTTTAAGCTTTTCCAGATAGGGCTATGGACCTATACCCTCCTCCAGACTGGAGATAATGATCACTTTGATATAGAGGTAAGATTGGTTAATGGTCTCCTCTCCATGATAAAGACGATGGACCGTTGCTTAAAAGCAAAGATAACATAGTTCTACTTGTTCAATTTCTTTCCTCTCTTTTTTCCCCTTTTTTTTTCTCTGTGGCTGCTTCTGTGAACATATCACCATGCTATGGCAGCAGCATATACCACTCCAAATGAAAACCAACACAACATAACCACCTCAGACTTGTATCCTTAATATACATAAATTAATTAGTGGTTTTAACACTGCCATCATACTTGCAAGTTACGATACTCTTAGTTACTATGAATGCACCAGGTCCTTCAGAAGGAAGAAGACCATAAATTAAATCCTAGGAGTAAGTTTACCCTACATGCATGACTAAATAGTTAAAAAGATCATCCTATCTATTAAAGCTGGGGTACAACTAAAGACCTTCTAGTCTCCATTTTTCACTTGGTTGTTTCCAACAATACATTTTATGGAAGACGACAAACAATCTAATATAGAGATCATCAAATGTGATTTAGATCATAATCTAATAGTAACCAGTAACATTGCAGCAAAGGACATAATTTTCTTTTTTCAAACAACAACCTAATGTTAACCTGTAACCCAGAATCAGCTCCAATTTTTAGACAAGTTCAGGGTAAACCCAGGACAATTAGTGCCCATGAGATGAAATTTCTGAGACTTGGGAATGATGCAAACAGAAAAAACACTCCAATCGACATATAGATGCTCATAAATATCCAACAAAGTGATGGCCGAGAGATGAATATAGCCATATATGAAAGTCATTTAACCTCAAGGCAGTCTAAATTTCTTTAATATTTCACTTGAAACAGTAATATACAATTTTGTTGCCAGCAAATTTATATGCATAAAACATAAGCATCAGAGGAAATAGCATTCTATTTTGTGGTACTTGGACATAGTGCAGTAAAAAATGTTTCAAAAGCAGAATAATTAAAATGAATGATTTTTCCATATCCCTAACTAAAGAACAAAGGAGCAAAGAAAATCACCCTCTTATCTTTGTCATCAGTATCCACATCTGTGGAGGTATCTGTCCTAGGACTCACATCTGCCATTGTGATCTCTTTCCAGTTCTCAAACTGACCACTGGAAAATAGACCGAGCTAGGCTGGTATCCCTTCTGTTGGGGTGACGTCAAAGACTCAACTCTAGCAGCTGAAGGTGTAATATCTATGGAAGCTAAAACCTGGTATCAGGATAGGGAAAATGATAACTATTTTCTACAAGCAGCAACTAGCTAAACACACATGATGCTACAAAAGACAAGAACATGTGAAATCTTACTTTAAAGAGATCTGCATACATAATAAAATGTTAGCAATGCCAAACCTCTAATCCAAACTATTTGGCATAAACACATGGGTCCTGCTATAATTTAGATCTAGAGGCAAGAGATCAAACTATAAGCTTAGTTAATTCCAGCCTTCAAGCAAATACAGAATATCTTGCCACCTCAAATTATCCTGCTATCATATTTTGCCTCTAGTTCTGTTTTCCCTCTGTGATATTGTTAAAGAAAATCAGAAGGCATTTAGCCATTAGAAGAACAACTGACAAAGTTCTAGAGTAAAAGGCAAAAAATGAATATATATATATATATATATATATATATATATATATAGTAAAATATTGGTGCATACATACAAAGATGTATATACAACACATATATGTGAATATACATATGCATATATGTATGCACATATATGTATATCAAGAGCATAAATTGCACGCCCCAGCCATGCTGACATATTTCAATAGAATACCACCAAACCAACATGCTTTTGAAATGGGACTAGGCCAAAATAGAACCAGAATATCACAATAATGATGGTGAAAAAAACCTTAGTCAAAAGCACATTCTTCACTGTTATTGGAAGCTTACTTCTCTAACATCAATAAAAAGCAGTCTCCTAGGCAGTTATAAAATTGATAGCTTCTTTATCATGTAACCTAGGTCCTAAAACCGATTTAATTTAATCGTCTATTAAAACTACATAAGTTAATGAACCTATTATGTAGGAGCAGTTGCTGAGGATTGAAAGGTCAATCCATATAGTAGATCAAATGCAAGCTAGTAAATATACAGCATGGTGATTTACTAGTTCCCACTTATGTACTGCATTTCACAGGCTGAATCTAATTATTTCCACAAGTGTGCACTTGTAACTACCAAAAATCAACTTGGGGTTTAATCTTTAGAAAGCCCCGAACCAAAGGGGTGAGTCAAGGACTATCTAGATTTAAGAAAAGTAAGAAGTTTCTTAGATAATTTGATAACTCCATTTTTATACACCAAATCAGCATGAGCTTTAAATTTATGACACTGGACATATTGCTTATCCATTCTCTTCAACTTGGTTTCATTTACCAGGACCGAGTAAAGAAAATGTTTCAAAGTTAAAAGTTCGATGAGAAAATTTTATTGATCATTAAAGACCTACCTATAACATTCTATAGCCTTGATATGACAAAACTTTTAAGAAATAAACAGAAACAATTTTTTTGAAGTTAGAATTTTGATGACAAATATCTGCTCATCTCTCAAGACCAAGCTAATGATACAGTACAATGGTTACTTCCTGTTTTGCACTGTTGAAATTTAGTGTAGTAATCAAAACTTCTGTCGATAGTTTCCATCTCCCTTTTAACAAAAGGAGACTTTCTTTTTGCCAAGTAAACTTTATAACAAAAACAAAGGTCAAGTACTAGGTAACCATAAAGAAAATCTTCTTTTCCAAGAATCCAGAAGTTCTGCATGATCATCTTTTTCTTCTTTTCTTTTATGCATTATCCTTCAATGCAAGAAATTAATATAAAAGATTGAATAATTTAAGAACACTGATAGATGAGCTATCAGTGTCAAGTCACATACTACTTCAATAAATAATACTTCACGTTATCCAGCATCCACATTCGTCATTCTAACAATTTCATATCGAGGTTGAAAAAATTGCTGTTTATAATTATTTCCGCTGTTATATAACGAAGTAGACAGTTTATATAGAGAAGAATAAAACCACAAACAAGGTATCATAGCTCCTAATTCTAGAGCAAAGAGAGCTGATCACAGCAACATGAAGCAGGAGTAGTCCTAAGGTAACCATGACAGTGGTAGCTGAACTCAAAATTATATCAAGAGATCGAAAGGTACCAGATTTATCAAGAACGACGGCAAGGACAAAGCATAGAAGAGACATACGTGTTCTGAACCACCGTCGACGAAGAAATAGAGCTTTCCGTCCCGGCCGCAGTTAGCTTACCATCTTCGACTCCAACCCCACCTGTCCTACTCCCCATTCACCGTCACCATCACCGCCGCCGCCGCCGCCTCCACAGGGAACGCACTTAAAAACAAAAAACAAAAAACAAAACCAAAAAACACCCTCAAAATCTCAACTTTCCAAC